TTTTTTTTTTTTTTTTTTTTTTTTTTTTTTTTTTTTTTTTTTTTTTTTTTTTTTTTTTTTTTTTTTTTTTTTTTTTTTTTTTTTTTTTTTTTTTTTTTTTTTTTTTTTTTTTTTTTTTTTTTTTTTTTTTTTTTTTTTTTTTTTTTTTTTTTTTTTTTTTTTTTTTTTTTTTTTTTTTTTTTTTTTTTTTTTTTTTTTTTTTTTTTTTTTTTTTTTTTTTTTTTTTTTTTTTTTTTTTTTTTTTTTTTTTTTTTTTTTTTTTTTTTTTTTTTTTTTTTTTTTTTTTTTTTTTTTTTTTTTTTTTTTTTTTTTTTTTTTTTTTTTTTTTTTTTTTTTTTTTTTTTTTTTTTTTTTTTTTTTTTTTTTTTTTTTTTTTTTTTTTTTTTTTTTTTTTTTTTTTTTTTTTTTTTTTTTTTTTTTTTTTTTTTTTTTTTTTTTTTTTTTTTTTTTTTTTTTTTTTTTTTTTTTTTTTTTTTTTTTTTTTTTTTTTTTTTTTTTTTTTTTTTTTTTTTTTTTTTTTTTTTTTTTTTTTTTTTTTTTTTTTTTTTTTTTTTTTTTTTTTTTTTTTTTTTTTTTTTTTTTTTTTTTTTTTTTTTTTTTTTTTTTTTTTTTTTTTTTTTTTTTTTTTTTTTTTTTTTTTTTTTTTTTTTTTTTTTTTTTTTTTTTTTTTTTTTTTTTTTTTTTTTTTTTTTTTTTTTTTTTTTTTTTACTATTTTTGCTCTATGGGCACTAACGAGAGCTTTTTTCAGAGCATTTTGGGTTCGGCAGGCTAGGCTGGTCATAGGTACCATTTTGAACTGTACAGTAATGTTTTTGAACTCGTGATTTGTTAGAAAATGTTTATTGTGCATTGATAAGGGACTGTTGCAAATGTACTTTACTGAAAATAAAAATAATTGTTCTAATTTGTCCCACATTTGAATGGATACTGCTGAAGAATAAAAATGGCATTAAATATAGCTTACAGAATAGTTTCAACAAATTTAAAGAATGTTACACAAACAGAAACAAATGAAATTTGACAATGTAATCAATGGGTGCTAATAAAGGCAATAATTAATAAACACTATTTGTAAGATGGGTCCAAATATTTTATAAAATGCACAAAAAAAAATCTTGAATTACAAGATTTTAATAATTTGATAATAGTGCTGTTTTTCATGAACTGCACAAGGAGCAATTCATGAGTGAAAATATTCTTTCTACAGCTTCTGTAGAATATTTTCATTGGTGAATTGCTGTAGTCAGAAGCCTACAAAAAAAATTTTTTTTTTGCTGTAGAGACTAGTAACTTATGCAAATGTCATGTCTCTTCTGTATCCGTTTTTTCAAAAACACCAAAGACAATTAATTCAGCCTTAAATTAAAAACCTTTAATGCTATGCATTTTGGATGAAAGGAAATGCAGTATAGTTATTGATTACTTTTTAATTCATTTGTAATAGTTCGGTATTGTAGCCTGAACAAGGATGAGTTTCCTTTCATCCAAAATGCATAGCATTTAAGGTTTTTTATGGCTGAATTAATTGCCCTTGGTCCTTTTGAAAAAAAATGGATGCAGAAGAAACATGACATTTGCATAATTTAGTCTCTAAAGCAAAAATAGGTTTTAGCTGAAAAATACAGCATGATTATCAGTGGCGTGCCGTCATTAGAAGCGTTGGAAGCGCCGCTTCCCTCGTATTCTCTAAAAAATAAATAAATATTAATTTTAATTATATGAAAATAATCGCACAATATTTTATTATAACCGCGTTATGTATCTTATTACGAATTTCTATACTACACGTGAAAAAAAAAAAAAAATTGCTATTGTATATTAGAATATTAGTGGCGGAGTGGAATCTCCTGTATTTTCAGATTACGAAAAGCCAGATTTGCGCATGCGCTTTACAGAGCACCAACCTCACCCGGTTTAGCCGGTGGAAGCCTACGACCTTGGGTGAAAGCTGCACACATATAAAGATTCCAATTCTATCAAGGACCGGTTCTGGGCTGTTAGCCGCCTGCCCACTAGATATTTCGATTACGTGAATAACGAGTAGATTTATAACTTAACCCAACCGATAAGAATTTACTGGTATGTTTTTACGATAGTTCTGTATAGTTGACAGGAGTTAAAAAAATCCATTAAAATATTTGATATATTTATTCCGCTCTCCGATTTTATATTACTCACGGATTTCGATGTTAAACCAGTGATATTACGATTTCGTACATCCCATCTTTAAGGGGATGTAGAAAAAAACGTGTACAATTCTTGTATAATGTTAAAAAATTAACCGTTACTTCGACAGCGTCATTTACAACTAAATTTAATGAATGAGAGAGATGCACCAGGTACAGAAAAAGCTCTAGAATTTATTTTCCTTAAATTTACGATTTATGTATCCGTTTGTCATAAAAATTTGTCTTTCCACTTTTTTCCCGAGACTACAAATATTCGAGTACAAAGTAACTGGTTTCGACTTATTTCTACTTAAGAAGTAGTTAAATAATTAAGCGATTAGGGAATTGGGGACATAAACAAAACCCTGATGAAAGAGCCGGAATATTACTTAAACAAAAGCTTAACCGAACCAATCTATAGCCGAGTACAGTGGGGACTGATTTCTTCGAAATACTGTATTAGATGTAATAAAGACAGAAATTTTTCCAGTTCGACGAGAGTGACCGAAAAGTTGTAAATTTTGGAAATTTCCGTGGACAACACCTGGTCCTAAAACGAATTAGTTAGAAAACAAATGACGGACAATCTATTAAGTTTAACATATTTAGATTTTTACAGCTATGGTGAGAAACGTTTAAAATTTACAACAACCCTGTCGCGTCCTTTGAGATATACTAGTGATGAGACAAAAGAGACATTAACCGGTATCGGCACCCTCGGGATTTGGCAGCCCGCGTGCATGTACAGTACACACCGCACACCTAGCAGGACCGTCTCTGATTCCACTCGTAGGGAGCTATTTGACTAAGTGGTTAAGATTTAAAGAGTAAAGAATATTTTATGTTATTTTCATGTACGTTTCATTACAAAGTTATATTTAATTATAATTTTCTTTAAAAGTATATTCATACAATTGAAGAATATTTTGTACCAGGTATGTATATCCACCACACATTTTATTTCACCAAGTAAGTTTTTATAATTTTATTTTTAATTTTAGCCCTTATATCGTGGCTAGCGATTCGGAATGTAATTGCGATATTGAAAATTTATTTTAAAAAAGTTTTGGCTCGAGATCATATAATGAAAAAGAAAACATTATTAAAAGAGAAAGGCCAATGCCTAAGTTAAATATAAACGCTTCAATAAAAAATTTGTTCGATATTTTCACGATAAAATGGCTCTGTAAATGTAAATGCATAAAAATGCATTTACAGAGTGAAATTAGTGTGTGGAATAAGAATGTCTTTGACAATTTAGCTGGCAAAAGACACGAAAAATCGTCGATTCTTTCGTATTTCAAGCAATTTGGAAATCGAAGCGTAATAGAATTTAACATTAGTAAATAATATAAAATAAATATTGAAAATTGTAACGAGATAATTATGGGTAATAGATATATCTAAATAGATAGATGTTATATGTCTTTATCAAAGCAAGAATTGGCATTTAGAGGGCATATGGAATATATTGGATCTAATAGCAGAGGTAATTATAATGAACTTGTTTATTAAGTACGTCAGATAAATAATCTATTAAAAATACATTTAAAGAAAGAATTAACTGATTGCCCCTGGATGTCGGCTTCTTATAGAAACACAGCTTCCCTATCATCAAATATTACGGCACGCCCCTGATGATTATACACGTGTTCCACAGAACCAAATATTTCCCGCTAGTTATAAATTGTGAGTGACCAGAACTTAAATAAGTTCATCTGAAAAATACGTTCGATTTGACTCTAGGAAACCTACATCAACGTAATTATTAAATTTGATATCATATTGTAATAAAAATATGACTCCTTTGTTGTTATATTTTCGAAAATAAAATCTTTTAGAGAAATTTACGTATTCATTTTTATGCCATCTAATCAATCAATTCAAATTAATGCCCGTCCATATTTGTTGACGAAATTTTAATAAAACAAGTTCTGTATTTAGCTGTGGCTCCCGACCCGTTTTGATATCAAGAAATTGTCAGCTTTGCCAAGTCCACAATGGTAAGCCAGATGGTAAGAAACGTGTCTCGACATATTTGAGACAGACCTGGAGTTGCTTGCCAGATCCGATTCCTATTCCTCCAGAGCGGTAGACTGACGCCTTAACTGTCTCGTCATTCCGCAGTCGGAACGATTAGGCTGGATTAACAGTAGCACACCCAGCTCTGGTTTTGCCAGTCCGCGCGGCGATTGTCACAGTAACTGCATCTTTTGCCGGTTGCTTAATTCTGTAACTCCATCTTTAGCCAATAGATGAAACTGATCACGATGTCATTCAACTGGCGTTACTAAACATTCTGGAACCATGTTCTACTTGCTTTAGTTTGTCATTCGGTGTTTGTTTTTTTTCCATTTTGTTTTATGCAAAGTTATCTCTGTTCTGGTTGAACTAAACTTTTTAGTAAAACGTGTTCTATTGACTTTACGGAATAACGTTCGACGGCGGTCGTCCAAAGTGTGAATGAATATTTGTTTTTTCGGGGCGGCGTATACTAAGAACCGGATTTTTGGACCGTCAAAAAAGGCGTCGGAAATGCTATTGTGAATCCAGACTTGCTATATTCAAACTCCTGTATGCGGACACTAATAAGGTATATTTCAGGCATATTACGAGTTCACACCACATCTCAATGGTGTGGTTGGAGCATAAGAAATGAAATCATGTATTATATAAATGGGGAAAGGTTGCATCCCCACACTGTGATTGTGGTGCAGAAAGACAGACTATACGACATATTTTGGAAGATTGTCCAATGAGACCCTATCCGGGAGAACTGAGTGATTTCCTGTTTGTGACTGAAAGTGCTTTATACTGTTTTTGATTTGGATTTACATTTGTGATTTGTGTTCTTGTTGCTTTCTGTCCTGCTTACTAATTAGATGTGTAGCCATATGCTAAATAAATAAATAAATTAATTAATGTATTATATCAGTCCAACAACCCAAAAAAATTTCAAAGATCCGATCTCCTTCCCTGAAAGCATCTTTGACACTTCAGTCATTCGGACTATTGCAAATGTACAGTACTTTACTGAAAATAAAAATAATTGTTCTAATTTGTCTCACACAAATTCTTTATTATCTCAGTAACTATTAATTAAATTTATTTTTATTCATTACATATTGTAAATGCTTCTTTCATCTCACAAGTCAAGGCAGTTCGGACATACGAGGGATGTTCAAAAAGTATCGGACCTTTATTTTTCCCGTGTAAACCAATGTTGCACGGGAGGTCTCTTTCGGTGGAGTTGTGGAGGGGACAGTCATGCACAATCCTGAATTTTTTCCCGCCTGCAGGAAGTGTCAGTCGCTGGCAGTCGGCCTATGAGTGACGACGTGTAGTGAGCGCTCGTCGGATTCCACTAACTTATAAATTGGAAAATGACTGAACAACGTGAGCAGCGATACTTCATCAAATTTTGTTAAAAGCTTGGCGATACCCAAGCGGAAACCATTCGCAAGATTCAGCTTTTGGGGCTTTCGGGACGATCCTCGAAGTCAAAAAAAGCGCGGCAGGTCCGCAGCAATGTCAAGGTCATGTTGACAGTTGTTTTTTACTCCCGTGGGGTGGTGTATCTTGAGTACACACCACAATGCCGAACCATCGCAAAGGAGTACTACCAGGAGGTCCTTCGTCGTCTTTGTGATGCTGTGCGACGCAAACGACCGGATCTGTGGTCAACCAAAACTTGGCAACTCCATCATGATAACGCACCCGCCCATTCTGCGCATCTTATTCGGACTTTCGTCGCCAAACATAACATTCCTGTGGTTCGTTATGCTCCGTACTCTCCCGACATGGCTCCATGTGACTTTTGGCTATTTCCCAAGCTGAAAATGCCACTAAAGGAACTCGATTTTAGTCAAGAGAAGACATCATGCGGAATGCGACGGACCGGCTGATGGCCATTCCAATAGATGCGTTCCAGCAGTGTTTCCAGCAATGGCAGGAGCGCTGGGAGAAGTGTATAAATTACCAAGTAGACTACTTTGAAGGGGATTATTTATAATTCTGAGAAATTAAAAAAAAACACGCAAGTTTATTAATATAAATAAATAAATATATAAATATATTTTAAAAATTATTATTTTTAAATCTTTCAAATTATTTTTAAAGCAACATTTAAAGAAAAATAAATAAATTTGTTAAAAATTTTGTATCAGAAAATCTAGAGGACTCTCGCTATCCAGAATAGAAATTGTAGTTGCGCAGTTGTTTCAGTTCGTTTATTTATCACCAGACGGTGTATCACGAAAATGCTCAGATTGTATGCGCAGTAGACCACGTGCGACGCGAAACCAACATTCCATATTGGTGCAGAGAGTTGATGGTTTACAAACATTGAATAAACGTATTAATAAGAAAATAAAACATCTGTCAATTGCCAAAAACCGATCCATCGAAGGATAGAAGTAATAACGCGTCCCGAAAGGTATGAATTATTGCCCAACGTTAATATTAATTTAGTGTGTTGGCAAAGAAGAGTCAGTTAGGCTTAGAAAGGGGATGAAAAATTTACAATTTTTTGATTTTTTTTTAATCTTAATTAATTATTAATTTTTATTACTTAATCAATTAAATATTTTTAATCGATTGAAAGGTTTATTTACATTTAATCCCTTGCCAATATGATTTTATACTGATTCAATATTGAATTTAATGGAAGCATTGAAGATATATTAATGTAAATATTACAAACTTAACTCCCTCACATTAAATTTTATAAGTAATTGCTTTAATAAATATTTAATATCTATTATATATATATACTTCAATATCTTAAATTAACTTTTTTAAAAAAATAAATAAATAAATTTTTAATCTTTATTACAAATTTATAAAAGTTTTATAGTTGTAATTGTCATTCAATAGTTTTAATCTTAAATTCTTTACACAGAAATATTTTTGAGCAATTTAAGACATTCATAACATAATAATTATAAACATTACAATATTAATATTTTGTATATAAATGTCTTGAAGTCTGATATTTTAATGATAATCCACCAAACGATTGCCAGATTGATCGGGATACTTTACTTATAGTAAAGAACTCGATTCGGCAATTGTTTGGCTTATTAGTATTTCATATTAGAATATCTAACGCGAAAAAGTAAATTAAGATTAAATATTTGTATCTGTACTTTGATAACTTGTTCTTAATTGATAAGTTATAAAGTATAAAAGTAACTCTTGTATATTTGGCCAAATATAAAATGTTTACAGTGTTAATGTTCTAAGTATATGACCTACATTTAAGATAAAATTATCTTGTTTTATTGTGATTACGAGGTATATAGTTTCGTTATGATTTATCTTGTCTTCTATGTTTTCGTATGTAAACATCTGAAAGCTCAATATTTTGTAATAAGCCAAATGATTATTGGAGTTTTGGGCTACTTTATCGCTGCTGTTAACAAATACTATGTAATTTGGTTCTAGAGGTAGGTGTTAGATGCCAGCTCTTATTAATTTTGTACTAGAGATGGCATCTAATGTCTACCTCTAGAACTAAATTACATAGTACAGCTGTCCCTTGATAATCCGACAAGTATGGGACCAAAGGGATGTCAGATTACCAAAAATGTCCGGATTACCGAAAGTGATTACATATTTGGCATTGTTTTGCTAGCAGTAGTCTACAATATTCCCTACTCCAACTGTTCGAACAGAACTGCTCACGGAAAACACATTAAATGTGTGTCATTGTGTAAGTATTGGGTGGGGAGATTCGCGTCGGGACATGCTTCTGTGTAAGCAGACACGTAACGGGGACGGGTACCTTGACGGGAGGTGCATCGGACTACTGAGCATGTCGGATTACAAAACATCGGACTATCAAGGGACAGCTGTATTTAGTTATTAATAGTAGTGGTAAAGTAGCTTGAAAATCCATCAATTGTTTGGCTTCTGTCTTTAAGATATTAAAAGAATGTCTTTTAAAATTTATAACAATAAGTCAAGATGATATTTTATTTAGTTAACATAAAAGAAAATTATTCTAAGTAAATAAGTTTTTTATATTTTAGCATAAATGTTTAAAGCAGTGGTTCTCAAAATTTTTTGGTTTGCAATGCACTATAAAATATGNAGCTTCCACGCACATCCACGCTAAAGAAGTCAGCAAGAAGTAATGAGTCAATATTGCTACCGACAAACATACGCTGTGTCCGTGTTTGGGAGAATTATGATGAGATCCCAATAAAAATGACATATTCATCAGCGCTAGAGAAATGCAAAGATTCAAGAGGATTTTGCCGGAATGATCGCGATGCAGGCACCTGTTACAAATAACCTTTTTAAGTTAATTTAAATCCCAATAATAAAAATAATAATAATAATTTATTAATGACCTACCCAAAAAGTGAATAAGTGAGAATAGTTAGGAAAAGACCAGTTAAAGATAAAGCGCATCCAATATAAGAAATTATAGACAGAACCTTCTCGTGTTGTTTAGGTATAACCATGTACGGAGTGGGATCCTAAAATAAAGAGTATTTATCATATAAAATGTTTTATTTTTATTGAAAATACAATTAAATCTTTCTTACCAAAAGAACAGAAAATGCGGTCAAGTGATTAGAAAAACAAAACGTTTTATTTTCTGTCTGGTTAGTGATCAAACCATCCAACGACCATTCTCTTTCTGATAGAAATTAAGTAAAATCATACAAATTTTAACTAAATTATCGAGTTTTTAAAAAAATAAATAAATAAATTTTTAATCTTTTATTACAAATTTATAAAAGTTTTATAGTTGTAATTGTCATTCAATAGTTTTAATCTTAAATTCTTTACACAGAAATATTTTTGAGCAATTTAAGACATTCATAACATAATAATTATAAACATTACAATATTAGTATTTTGTATATAAATGTCTTGAAGTCTGATATTTTAATGATAAGCCACCAAACGATTGCCAGATTGATCGGGATACTTTACTTATAGTAAAGAACTCGATTCGGCAATTGTTTGGCTTATTAGTATTTCATATTAGAATATCTAACGCGAAAAAGTAAATTAAGATTAAATATTTGTATCTGTACTTTGATAACTTGTTCTTAATTGATAAGTTATAAAGTATAAAAGTAACTCTTGTATATTTGGCCAAATATAAAATGTTTACAGTGTTAATGTTCTAAGTATATGACCTACATTTAAGATAAAATTATCTTGTTTTATTGTGATTACGAGGTATATAGTTTCGTTATGATTTATCTTGTCTTCTATGTTTTCGTATGTAAACATCTGAAAGCTCAATATTTTGTAATAAGCCAAATGATTATTGGAGTTTTGGGCTACTTTATCGCTGCTGTTAACAAATACTATGTAATTTGGTTCTAGAGGTAGGTGTTAGATGCCAGCTCTTATTAATTTTGTACTAGAGATGGCATCTAATGTCTACCTCTAGAACTAAATTACATAGTACAGCTGTCCCTTGATAATCCGACAAGTATGGGACCAAAGGGATGTCAGATTACCAAAAATGTCCGGATTACCGAAAGTGATTACATATTTGGCATTGTTTTGCTAGCAGTAGTCTACAATATTCCCTACTCCAACTGTTCGAACAGAACTGCTCACGGAAAACACATTAAATGTGTGTCATTGTGTAAGTATTGGGTGGGGAGATTCGCGTCGGGACATGCTTCTGTGTAAGCAGACACGTAACGGGGACGGGTACCTTGACGGGAGGTGCATCGGACTACTGAGCATGTCGGATTACAAAACATCGGACTATCAAGGGACAGCTGTATTTAGTTATTAATAGTAGTGGTAAAGTAGCTTGAAAATCCATCAATTGTTTGGCTTCTGTCTTTAAGATATTAAAAGAATGTCTTTTAAAATTTATAACAATAAGTCAAGATGATATTTTATTTAGTTAACATAAAAGAAAATTATTCTAAGTAAATAAGTTTTTTATATTTTAGCATAAATGTTTAAAGCAGTGGTTCTCAAAATTTTTTGGTTTGCAATGCACTATAAAATATGTAAATTATTTCTGATATACTTGTTACACAAAATTAAAAATTATACAATATTATATTTTAAACTATGAGAATTGTGTAAAATAATAATTGTTACTATAAAAGCTTAGTCTAACTATTAATTCATCATGGATGTACCATGATGAATTAATAGTTAGGCTAAGCCTTTACAGTAACAATTATTATTAAAATTAATTTTAAAAAATAATTTTTAAAATGTACTTTAATCATAATTTGGCACCTCTAGTCATCTCTTTGGTTCAGAGTTTGAGAATTACTGATTTAGTTTTGGGTGGATAAAAGTGCAGCTCTGAATGAAGTGTTGAGACCTTATTACAGCTGTAGATCATGTCCATAGGAGTAAAAGAAGTTAAAGTAACTTATGGTATACATGTGGCTCTTCAAGAGATATAGTGATAGGTTTGGGCTGCTTGTTAAACATGCAATAACTAGATCAATTGAGCTTGCAGTGTGACTCTGATTGCACCCTGGTAGTAGTAGGTACATTGGCATTTTAGTGTCTTATGAGATTCTATCTGTCTCCAATAAAGTGGAAAATAGTTGATTTTTATCATTGTTTTGAGAAATAGTTTGACTTTTTTTTGTTGCTTAAATTAAACACATGTAGTGTGATCGATTAATCACACTACATAATGTTTAAGCAACAAATAAGAATAACTATAGTTTCAGATTATCAAAATAGTTTTAGATTTTTTCATTTTAAATTTTATTCCATTTTGAG